GTGATCCGCCCGCCTTGGCCTCACAAAGTGCTGGGATTACAGGCCTTTAGCCACAGTGCCCGGCCTCTTTTTTTCTTTTCTTTTCTTTGAGACAGGGTCTTGCTCTGTTGTTCAGGCTGGAGCACAGTAGCACAATCATGACTCACTGCAGCCTTAACCTCCCTGGGCTCAGGTAATCCTCCCACCACAGCCTCCCAAGTATCTGGACCTGCAGGTACATGCCACTATGCCCAGGTAAGTTTTGTATTTTCTGTAGAAATGAGATTTTGCCAAGTTGCCCAGGCTGGTCTCAAACTATCAGGCTCAAGCAACCTGCCCACCTTGGCTTCCTGAAATGCTGGGATTATAGGCATGAGTTACTGCACCCAGCCTTTTTTTTTTTTTTTTTTAAAGAGACAAGGTCTCATGATGTCGCCCAGGACAGAGTACAGTGGCTATTCACAGGCACAATTAAGAGTACCCTATGGGTTTGAATGCCTAGTGTTAAGCAATCCTCCTGCTTCAGCCTCCTGAGCAGCTGAGGACTTCAGACTTGTGCCATTGCATCTTTAAAATTTATCAGACATAGCCAAACTGTCCTTTGAGAAATTCTCACCAATTACGCTTTTGCCATTGAAGTGTCAGTGATCTGCCTTTTTTTTTTTAAAGGGGTTGGGTTGATTTATTAGTTTGTCTATTGCTGCAAACAGGATTAGCTTTGTGCCTATTCATAAGTGATTCTTTTTTTTTTTTGAGATGGAATCTCGCTCTGTCACACAGGCTGGAGTGCAGTGGCACAATCTTGGCTCACCACAACCTCCTTCTCCAGGGTTCAAGCAATTCTCCTGCCTCAGTCTCCCCTGTAGCTTGGATTACAGGCATTTGCCACCATGCCTGGCTAATTTCTGCATTTTAAGTAGAGACACGGTTTCACTATATTGGCCAGGCTGGTCTCAAGCTCCTGACCTCAAGTGATCCGCCCACCTCGGCCTCCCAAAGAGCTGGGATTACAGTGAGCCACTGCGCCTGGCCTTCATGAGATTTCAAGCTTAAGACTGATACTGCTAAGAGCCATCTTGAGTAGATGCATCCTAGAGATGATAGAGCTTTTGTTGAAAAGAACAAACAAACAAAAACCATACCCGCGGGTGCCATAGCCACAAGGTTGTCTGTCAGCTCCCCTCTTTCTGCTGCAGTCTGGAGAACACCTTTGAGATCTCCTTTCCAAAGCATAAGCTGGTGAAATAACTCAGGGTGGCCATTTTCTAAGTGACCTTTTCCTGTTTGAAAGAGAGAGAATGTTTGGAAGCTGTTTCAGAAACATCTATCACTGATTTGTAGAAAAAGAAAGGCAAGACAGAAGAGAAAGTGAGCTCCTAAAATATGCAGTCACTCTCTGATGGCTGTGTCACCTACCAGAGTGATTACAATGGGACCTGAAGCCCACTCGGTCACTGTGCACTACCCACCTTCACTTGCACTCAGAGTGAATGCCGTATGGTTAGGATCCTATGATGATGCAAGAGACGTATCAGCATGTAAATCAGGGAGCTCAAAGCCTAGTTAGCTGACATGTAAAACTAACCATTATATAGTATCGCAGGATGGTAGCCGTAAAAAAGGTCAGATGGATGGGATTATGCTGACTGGGTTTGCCTCACCTTCAATATCAATCATTCTGTACAGGGTAGCCCTGTCTGTGAAAAGCCCCAGATGAAATCTTTCCTCAAGATCAGCAGACACATCTTCATTCAGCTCTGTTAATTTAAAAAGGCAAAAAAAATCCTTGAACATCTGGGATAATAGGCACTGTGCCTGGTGAGATTTACTTTCTTTTTATACTGTTTCAATTTCATTTTATTGTGTGCATCCCTTTTCCACATGTAAACTTCAAATTAAAAAAATAAAGTTGCTCAAATATCAAAAGAGAGGGAATTAAATGAAGACATTAAGAAACAAAATAAGAACACCCTTCAAGCAAAACTTCCAAAGCAAAAGTTTCCATCAAAAGTTTTTTTTTAAGGAACTGCCATATTATGTGTATGTGTGTGTGTATATATGTGTGTGTGCGTATATATGTGTGTGTGCATATATATATATATATATAAAATTATGTATATTTCCAGTAAGGAAAAAAATATTTTCTCCATAAGGATATTGTACAATAGGAAAAAATAGTTTAAGTTTATTCGTGCTGAGATATTTACACCAACATACCAATTCTGGCACACAGATGGCTGGGAACAACTAGATTTAGAATGAAAGCAAAACACTACATCTCAAAGGCATGGCAGTACTGATAGTGGGTCACAATGGGGACTTTGGCAGCAGGGTATAGGGGTGGAGGGATGTGGAGGGAAGGGAAGGCTGGAAAAGAACATACAAATACAGAAAACAATTTTAGACATTTCTTTGGGCATTCATTCAATAAATAAGTAAACATCTCTTATATGCCAGTCCCAAAAGACTATGGACGGGCCAAGGAAGTACATTTTTGTACCTTTGGAGTGCTTTGCCGTTGCTAATACCAAACAGTCCTGATGAAGCTCCTCTTTGGATCTGTGGTCCAGGCTTGTACTCAGGGGAAGCGTGGAACGAGCTTTTCTCTTCTTGACTAAGGCTTCTGAAATGTAATGAAAGTACACACTATCTGAGGGAGAGCTGATCAGAAACATAAAACAGGAATGCCTATTGTGTGAATGTAACCTACTGGCAGGATGCCACGGGCACAGAAAGTTCCCCTTCCTAATAAAGAGGCTTTCAAAATAAATTTGCTGGGGGCATTGTTCACAATATACACAAAAATGCTCTTGCTAACATTATTAACAACTGCAAAGCATTTCATCAAGTGCTTAAAGGATTCAAAAGCATGACCCAAAATGGAAGGCTGGGTGCAGTGGCTCATGCCTATAATCCCAGCACTTCGGGAGGCTGAGGTAGGCAGATCACTTGAGGCCTGGAGTTCAAGACCAGCCTGGCCAACATGGTAAAATGCCACCTCTACTAAAAATACAAAAATTACCTGGGCATGGTGGTGGGCACCTGTAATCTCAGCTACTCAGGAGGCTGAGGCAGGAGGATCACATGAGGGTGGGAGGTGGAGTTTGTAGTGAGCCACGAGCACACCACTGCACTCCAGCCTGGGTGAAGGGAGTAAAAACCCTGTCTTAAAAGAAAAAAGAAACCTAAGCAGAAAACCTACAAATATTGTAAACCTAAAAAGACCTAAAAAAAGAAACAAGAAACCACACTGTTTTTTGACAGTAGCATGTACTATTTTAGGCTGCTTTAACAAAATACTGTATTTTAATCACTAGATACCAACCTGGCTTCTCTTTAGGTGGCTCCTTTTTCAGTAAAATGACTTTGTTATTAATGGTGACTTTTGACTTTTCAAAGCTTGAGGAAATTGGAGTGCAGATAACTGGTTCCCTAGAAACTACATCATGGGGGAAAAAAGAAAAAAAAGTTGAGGATAAAAACAATACAGAATTTCAGTTTTTAAAAATTTAGAGCCATTCCAAGCTCAGCAATGCAATCAATTCATCTATTACCAAAACTTTTGAGATAATACGCATTAGAAAGGAAGTAGGGGTACTTTTCCCTTCCCCACCTCACAAAGTAGGTGTTTTCAGGAACCTGTGAGTCTATTACTTTGTGTTTTTTTTTTTGTTGTTGTTGTTGTTGTTTTTTGAAACGAAGTCTTACTCTGTCGTTCAGGCTGGAATTCAGTGGCGCAATCTTGGCTCACTGCAACTTCTGCCTCCCAGGTTCCAGCAATTCTCCTGCCTCAGCCTCCCCAGTAGCTGGCGAAAACCACCATGCCCAGCTAATTATTGTATTTTTAGCAGAGACGGGGTTTCGCCACATTGGCCAGGGTGGTCGGTCTCAAACTCCTGACCTCAGGTGATCCATCCGCCCCAGCCCCCCAAAGTACTGGGATTACAGACATGAGCCACCTTACCCAGCTTACTCTGAACTTTTTCTTTTTGGTTAGTGATAAGGTATAACTCTGTTGCCCAGGCTGAAGTGCAGTGGTGCAAACACAGTCACTGAGGCCTTAACCTCCTGAGCTCAGGTGATTCTCCCCTCCTCAGCCTCCCAGACTGGCTAGGACTATAGGCACAAGCCATTATGCTTGGTAATGTTTATATTTTTTGTGGAGGTGGGGTTCCCTATGTTGCCTAGGCTAGTCTCAAGCTCCTGGGCTGAAGCAAGTCTCCTTTCTTGGCTTCCCACAGTGCTGGGATTACAGGCATGAGCCACCATGCCTGCCTTACTCTGAACTTAGACTAAGGAAAAAGCTTCTAACCCTCCACAACTTTATACCATAAGCCAAGGAGTTTCTATACTTTGCTCAAGCGACAAAGCACTTTTTACATTTTCAGGTCATAAAGTACTAATTGCATATTTAATTATACTAACAAAGAGTAACTTTAATAATAAAGAATATTAGATGTATGCAATATGGTGTCACAATCCTGAGCGCAGGAACTTTTTAAAAACAACTTGTTGATCCATGTTTTGTATAGCCATTTTGTGAAAGAAAGGCTCCTAAAAAAAAAAAAAAAAAAGCCGGGTGTGGTGGCTCATGCCTGTAATCCCAATAATCTGGGAAGCCGAGGCAGGCGGCTGGGACTAGAGGTATGTGCCACTGTACCCAATTAGAAAAGCATTCTGATGGGCCAAAATAATAAATCTATTAGGCTTTTTGCTCTTTATCTACCCCAACTATGTGTCTAACAGCAATCCTTTGTGATAGAGGGCAACTGGGATGCCTTGTATCATATATACTAGACATTTTAATTCTGTCACATCAATATATTCTGTTTTAGAATTAAGCATAAGTCATTGCTTCTACTTATACTGTTTGCTATTTGATCATTTATTTTAACAGGGACCAGGTATTTAAGGTAAGTGTACAAAATTTTAAAAGTGCCAAAATTTTTATTTAATAACAGTTTGTCTTTAAACTAGAAATAGATTATCATAATTTAGTGATGGAATGCTGTTTTGTGAGAAATCTGAGAACCACCACTATAGCTTACCTCACCAGAAGAACCTAGTAAGCACTTACACTTTTTTTTCTGTGAGAAGACAGAAAGCCGGGTATAAACTCCAGGTAAGAGGAGTGAGAGCTTGCAAGTTCCCACAGTGGTGGTAGCTTCTAGGTCAGACATTTGTAAGATACAGTGGTTTCTTTCAATAAATGTGGCTAATGACGTCATACTATTCAAACTTTTCTCATGTAATTTCCTATGTACACAAGAATCTCAGCTTCACTTTGTCCCATGGTTTTACCTTGCCCAAGTTGAATAAGAAGTTTCCTCTATAGAAGTTTACTATTTCTACCCCAAACATCCACTAGAACCCCTTTAAAACTTCAAAGATGTTTATTTTAGAGACTTGAATAAAGCTTGAAAAAAAATAAAATGGGAAGGTCTGAGATAGCAAAGTTTCAAACTGAGTAAGGACCTAGCTTAGTTTCCTAGACATGAGATCCTAGTGATACACAGGGTTCTGCCACATACCCGCTGGAGCCAGGCCACAGGGTAATTCTGGCTCCCGTGCTTCCTCCTCCCCTTCTTGGTCTGACACACCATTCTCAACAGGTCTTGAGTTCTCCTTCATGCTTTCTTCTTCATTCCCATCTATCGATTCCAGCTTTACAGGAGTTCTCAAGGTGGGCTTTTTCTTCTTTTTGGGCTTTGGCTTAGGTTGAGAGAGTCGTTTTTTCTCTAATTCAATACTTTTTTTGCCTACAGGAATCAAAATAAAGAAGGAAAGACTAAAATGTACATTCTTGGTTAAAAGCACTCTAAAGGTAAACTCCAATACCTCAATACTCTTTAATAGTATTTTTACCCTTTCCCTTCATTCCCAATGAACTTTTAGAGTTATATTATCATAATAGTAACCAAACTCTTTTGAGATTTCATTAAATCATAAACATGCCCAACAGCACCCAAATACTTCAGTGTGTATCTTATGAACAAGGATATGCTCCAATATCACCACAGTACAACCATGGAAATCAGGAAATTAACATAACACATTACTGTCATCTACTCCGTACACTCTACTTAAGTTCTGCCAATTTTAGCCAGATGTCGTTTATAGCGAAAGGAATCAATTCAGGATCACACAGTACGTTTGGTTGTCATGCCATTCTGCTTCCCTTCAGCCTAGAACAGTTAGTTGCATGGTTTTTCTTTGACTTTCCTAATTTGAAACTTTTGAAGATTGCAGGACAGTTATTTGTCCAACTTCCCTCAATTTAGGTCCGTCAGACATTTTTCACGACCAGATTTAGGGTACGCATCTTTAGCAGGAATGCACATTAGTGCTGCTGTGTTCATCCAGGGAAATCTATGAGGTAGCAGTTTGTTTTTATTTGTCCCATTTGGTTTATTTTGATCACCTGATTAAGGGGGTGTCTTACAGGTTACTCCCTAAAAGGGTATTTCCCCTGTTTAACTACTAAGTATTTGCATCTACTAGCTTTAGTATTCACTGATGTTTCTTGATTAAAAATTGTTACCACGGTGACTGCCAAATAGTGAATTTTTTCTTTTGAGACAGGCTCTTGCTCTGTTGCCTAGGCTGGAGTGCAGTGGCAGAATCTCAGCTCACTGCAGCCTTACTTGACCTCCCAGGCTTATGCAATCCTCCTGCCTCAGCCTTCCGAATAGCCGGGACTACAAGTGTGCAACACCATGCCTGGGTAATTTTTGCTTTTTTTTTTTTTTTTTTTTTGCAGAGATGGGGTTTTGTGATGTTGGCCAGGCTGGTCTCAAACTTCTGGGCTCAAGTGATCAGCTCGCCTCCCAAAGTGCTGGGATTATAGGCATGAGCTACTGTGCCTGGCCCAAAGGGTGAACTTCCAATTCCAACATTCCACTCTATATTCATTAGTTGGCATTATACCACAGGGAAGAGCCTGTGCTTCTCTCCATTTTATTTAGGCACTCATTTATTTATTAAATCAGTCTGGACTCATTAATTCCTCCATTACTGTTATATTTACATTTTAAAGGCTTTTACATTAACATTTTAAGGTTTTTATCCTTTGCTTATTTTAAAATCATCTTTGAGATGTAATATAAAATACACCCACTTTTTGATACTTTGATGAATTGTGACAGATGTATGTAGTCATATAACCTACCCATCACCACAATTACTTTTGCACCAATCTAATATTTCCATCAAGCCTCTTTGTGGTAAGATATACCTTCTGCTTGAGCCCTAGTAATCACTAATCTGCTCTTATTGTGGTTTAGTTTTGCCTGCTGAAGAATTTCACATAATCTGGGCGCAGTGGCTAACGCCTGTAAGCCCAGCACTTTGGTAGGCCAAGGCAGGCAGATCACCTGAGGCTGGGAGTTCAGTACCAGCCTGGCCAACATGGTAATCTCTATCTCTACTAAAAACACAAAAAATTTAGCTGGGCATGAGGCGTGCATCTGTAGTCACAGCTACTTAGGAAGCCGAGGCAGGAGAATTACTTGAACCTGGGAGGTGGAGGTTGCAGTGAGCCAAGAGTGTGCCACTGCTCTCCAGCCTGGGTGACAGAGTGAGAGTCTGTCTCAAAAAAAAAAAAAAAAAAAAAAATCACATAAATAGAATTATACAGTATGTACTCTCTTGTGCCTGGCTGCTTCTGCTTGGCATGTTTTATTGAGATTCATTTCATTTCGTTCCTTATCAGTTGTTATCTTCTTTTTATTGCTACGTAGAAGTCTATTGTAGGGATGCACCACAATTAATTCATTTATCTGATGACAGACATGTGTATTGTTACCAGTTTTTGGTGATCACACATAAAGCTACTATGAGCATTCTTTTACAAATCTTTATGTGGACATATCATTTCATTTCTTTGGGTGTGAATTTCTAGTTGTTTAATATATTCTTTTATTTAAAATTAAAAAAAAATTTATTTCACAGAAACAGTGTCTCCCTATGTTGCCCAGGCTAGTCCTGATCTCCTGGGCTCAAGCCATCTTCCTGCCTCAGTATCCCAAAGTGTTGGGATTATAGGATTGAGCCACCATGCTTGGCCAATTTTTCCTATTTACTTTCATTTTGTAATTTTTGGTATAGATGAGACCTTGCTGTTTGTCAGGCTGGTCTCAAACTCCTGGCCTCAAGTGATTCTCTAGCCTCAGCCTCCCAAAGTGCTGGGATTATAGACATGAGCCATGTGCCCAGCAGTTGCTTAATGTATTTTGTCTAGTTTTCTAGTTGCTTTCTAGTCTGATACCAATAAATCTTTCTTAGCTAGAAATGGAATTTTCCTCTTATTTCTTTTCAACTACCATCTCAGATTTGGTCAGTGGGAGCCTCTTCAAGCTGTCTCTTTTGTCCTTTTGACATGTCTCCTTAAGTCTTAGAGTACTGCCTTCTTCTTTAGCATAACGTTTCAGTTTCAGTTTGTGTTTTTCCTGTCCCAGCCTGGAACCAGCCACTTCTCCAAGAAGCCATGGACACTTTTAATGGAGAATGACATTTAGAAACCATGATCTGGGCTGGGCACGGTGGCTCATGCCTGTAATCCCAGCACTTTGGGAGGCTGGTGGGCAGATCACTTGAGGCTAGGGGTTTGAGACCAGCTTGGCCAACATATCTAGACTGTCTCTACTAAAAATACAAAAAAATTAGCCAGGCATGGTGGTGTGCACCTGTAGTCCCAGCTACTAGGGAGGCTGAGGCACAAGAATCGGTTTAACCCAGGAAGTGGAGGCTGCAGTGGACCAAAATTGTACTACTGCACTACAGTCTGGGCCACAGAGCAAGACTCTGTCTGAAAAAAGAAACCAAGATCTGAGTGCCAGGTATGTTCCTTCCTTTTGTAGGTGGTGCTGTTCTCAAGCCCTCATGGCTGCCTTCTTGCTTAGGCTCGGACCCATGCCATACTGACACTAATGTCCTGCACAAATGTATTCCTTGCTCAATCCTGATGAACTCAATTATTAAGAAAGGGAGAAAAACAATTAGATAAGCCTCAGGTTCTGACTGACCTTGAGGAGGCCGGGAATGATCTTGCATGGAAGTGAGCCACTTGTACACACAGAAGTCATCTGCCCCTGAATAGATGCAGTCTGGATCCAAAGGAGACCACGCCACACAAAGCAGTCGACCTCGATGTCCTCGGAAATTACACAGGGGTTCTTCCCGGAGAGTATCCCACACCTAAACCCAAAAGTACGACCAAATAGACATTTTCTGGTTATTCTATTGCTTGGGGGTATGTTTTCTAATTAAAAAAAAGAAAAATCTATGGCTTCTTATTTCCTCATGTGATTTGGAGTTTTCTCTTAGAAGTTCAATTTCAGAAGAGTCCTATTTCCTGTGGGAGACTTCTGTGCTCTGAGATGTACAGGCATTCCTATGGCGGTGATTTTGAATGAGCTTGTGCTGGAGTCCTACGGATTTCACTGTCTCAAGCCTAAACTGTATGTTAACTTTTGGGTTTGAGATTCTGGTATTATGAAGAAAATAGCCCATAACTAGTCCGGAAATTACAGTTTTAATTTCTCTTAGGTTATTCTTTTGTCTCCAAAAGAATTGGCCAATTTCCTTTCCATTTCTTGAATTATTCTGAACTCAGTTTCACAGACGGCAGCAATTTGTGGCTCCTAGCTTTGTGCAGTTAGCTCAGTTACAACTCAACACTGAGAGACAGAAACATCACGGATGCTAGGTCTCCAGCTCCTAATGTCTATTCTAGTTCTGATATCCAGAAGTCCTCTCTCATAGATCTGGCTTGGCATTTCATCTTTATTTTTTTAGAACTTGGAGATTTCTAACTTACCAATTTATTATTAAAAATTTTGTGATTTTAGGCCGGGCGCGGTGGCTCAAGCCTGTAATCCCAGCACTTTGGGAGGCCGAGGCGGGTGGATCACGAGGTCAAGAGATCGAGACCATCCTGGTCAACATGGTGAAACCCCGTCTCTACTAAAAATACAAAAAATTAGCTGGGCATGGTGGCGTGCGCCTGTAATCCCAGCTACTCAGGAGGCTGAGTCAGGAGAATTGCCTGAACCCAGGAGGCGGAGGTTGCGGTGAGCCGAGATCGCGCCATTGCACTCCAGCCTGGGTAACGAGCGAAACTCCGTCTCAAAAAAAAAAAAAAAAAAAAAATTTTGTGATTTTTAGCCACCATTTCAGTGTCTGAACAGAAGAGAGTGCTTTGTACATCATGTTAGTCCACCATACCGACAGTGAATCAGAGAGAAATCTGTAAAAATGTTAGCGTTAGCTAGTTCCTACTGATACTTTTCCCTTCATCTAAGTAAAAAAAAACAAAAAACAAAAAACCCCAGTCTTAGCCTGCTAAAGGCCCAGATATGTGGAATAAAACTAAAATGCCTCCTAGAGCCCAGAACATCTCCTTCTGTAGATGATAACGGGGGAGGGAAAACCTGCTCACAACTGGGGGAAAAGAAGAAAGAGTTTGTTAGAGAATATAGTGAAGGGCCCACAGGGACAAGGACACAACAGTACCTGGGCTGTACCATCATAGGAAGCAGATACCAGCCTTCCATCATGATGTGGGCTCCACGCCACACTGGTAATCTTGGCTGTATGCCCCGAGAGAGTCCGGTAGGGCTCTGTAATGGTCACTGGAGACTCAGGGCTGCTCTCTAAAAGGCAAGGGAAATACGTCACTGCTAACAGTAACAAAAAAACAAAACAAGCAAAAAGCATATCCAGGAAGGCATGCACATGGCAAGAATCAAGATTTTGCCATACACTTTCAAGGTGATTTTTTTTTTTTTTTTTGAGACAAAGTTTCCCTCTTGTTGCCCAGGCTGGAGTGCAACGGCACAATCTCAGCTCACTGCAAATCTCTGCTTCCTGGGTTCAAGCATTTCTCCTGCCTCAGCCTCGCAAGTCTAGGTGGTTTTTAGCAGGCAACACTGTTAGTTATTAAGAGTGTGGGCACATCCACAGTACTTAGCATATAAGATTACCACAAGAAGTGTTAGCTCTCATTATCCTTTATAGATATTCTAGCTATAATGTATAATCTGAATATAGTAATGAGAAAATAACAGACAAATGCAAAATGAGAAAGCATCTATGAAATAAGATGCTATCTCATTTCGTAGATCTCATGCTATCTTCCTCAAAAATGTTATGTAAGATTAAAAAAAGGCTGGCTTGGCCAGGCATGTTGGCTCATGCCTGTAATCCCAGAACTTTGGGAGGCTAGTGTAGGCAAATTGCTTGGGTTCAGGAGTTCAAGACCAGCCTGATGATACCCTGACTCTACAAAAATTATCCAGAGGTGTTGGTATATACCTATAGTCCCAGCTACATGGAAGGCTGAGATAGGCGGATTGCTTGAGCCTGGGAGTCAGTGATTGCAATGAGCCGAGATCGTGCCACTGCACTCCAGCCTGGGTCACAGAGTGAGACCCTGTCTCAAATAAAAAAAAAAAAAGGGAAAAGGAAAAGGAAAAAACACACACACACACACACACACACACAGCCTAGCCAGGCACAGTGGTGTGCGCCTATAGTCCCAGCTACTCGGGAGGCTGAGGTGGGAGAATGGCTTAAGCCCATGAGGAGTTGGAGGCTGTGGTGAGCTATGACTGCACCACTGCATTCCAGCCTGGATAACACAGTGAGACTCAGTTTCTAAAAAATAAATAAATATATACATAAATGATTCTTAAAAGGCTGAGAAATTATTATAGATGAAAGGAGACTAAGGAGACATGACAACCAAATGCAAACAGGTGATCCTGCGTTGGAATTTGCACTGGAGAAAAAAAATCACTATTAAGGACATTACTGGATCAACTGACACAACTAGAATATGGGTGTCAGATTATTTTACCTTTTTTTTTTTTTTTAAAGAGACTAGGTCTTACTTTGTGGCTAAGGGTGAAGTACAGTGACACAATCATAGCTAACTGCATGCAGCCTCCAACTCCTGGGCCCAAGGAATCCTCCCACCTCAGCCTGTGGGTAACTGGGCCATCATGTCCAGCTAATTTTTTTTTTTTTTTTTGAGACAGAGTTGCGCTCTTGTTGCCCAGTCTGGAGTGCAATGGCATGATCTTGGCTCACTGCAACCTCCACCTCCCAGGTTCAAGCGATTCTCCTGCCTCAGCCTCCCGAGTAGTTAAGATTACAGGCATGTGCCACCACGCCAGGCTAATTTTGTATTTTTAGTAGAGACAGGGTTTCTCCATGTTGGTCAGGCTGATCTCGAGCTCCTGACCTCAAGTGATCCATCCGTCTTGGCTTCCCAAAGTGCTGGGATTACAAATGTGAGCTACCATGCCCGCATGTCCAGTTAATTTTTAAAACTTTTGTAGAGTTGGGGTTTTGCTACATTGCTCAGGATGGTCCTGAACTCCTGGCTTCAAGTGATTTTCCTGCCATGGCCTCCTAAAGTGTTGGGATTACAGGCATGAGCCACCATGCCTAGCATAAACTATTTGTTTAAATTGACAAATAATAGTTAGATATAATTTTGGGGAAAGATTAAACTATCGTATATTAAGTTAAACCAACAAACTGAAAATGGGTAGGAAAAACTACGTAAACATACGCACACAGAATAAAGCTAATGTGACAACACATTAAAAACTGTTGAATCTACTAATAGGAAAAAGTATATGAGATTTCTTTGTACAATTCTTGTAACTTTCCTCTAAGTCTCACTTTTTCAAAATAAGAAGGTAAAAATTAAATGAATGGATTCTGGCAATTTTCTTCCCTTCTCTACTATTTAGTATATGTGATATAAAGTGGATGATTAATTTGGAATCCCAATAATAATAAGATCAGAATCAGCTAACATACGTTCATTAGTTAGACACTGTCTATTATTTACCATTAGAAAAATGTATCTATATTTTAATACTTTTTCCATACTGCTTTTAATTCAGGAGAGTCACTACTAGAACCAAAAATATTTTTTCTTGTTACAAATAAGATTCTTAGAAAACTAATGGAAGGGCCAGGTACAATGGCTCACGCCTGTAATCCCAGCACTTTAGAAGACCGAGGTGGGTGAATCACAAGATCAGGAGTTTGAGACCAGCCTGGGTAACATGGTGAAACCCTGTCTCTACCAAAAGTACAAAAATTAGCTGGGCATGGTGGCATGTCCGTGTAATCCTAGCTGCTCAGGAGGGTGAGGCAGGAGAACTGCTAGTGCCAGGACCTGGGGGCAGAGGTTGCAGAGAGCTGAGATAGCACCACTGCACTCCAGCCTGGATGACAGGCAAGACTTTGTCTCAAAAAAATAAAAATAAAAAAGCTACTGGAAGTAAATTCTAGAGAAGTGAAAATATCAACTACTTTTACTATGGCTGAGAGCATGTTTTATAGCACTCTGAAAACAGTTTAGTGTCAGATTATAATTTCTTCATATAAGGAAAAAAGTAATCCCACTTCACTCATATTTAAAAATGGCTCTTCTGACCACCTACTATGGTTTTCCCAGGTGCCAAAGTGGCCTCAATGAAATTTAAGATTCCTTATGGAATAAATCATATCCATATGGACGTTAACTCACTAGGCATGGAATAGCACTTGCTAGAACACATACAGACTCTGCAATTAGATACTCTGACGTTGAATCTGGCTCTATCATATATTAGCGATGATACTTGCTTGAATAGCTAACCTTTCTGGACCTCAGTTTAATCTTGGGAAAAAGAGGATAACAATACCTATCACCCTCACAGGATTTATGAGGATCAGGTGCAATCAAACACAGGAATGAGGTATGTGTCCTGTGTTTGTGTTTAACATTCAAAAACTGCTGGAGGAAGTATTAAATGGCATAATGTTTTTAGAGAGCTGCTTAGCAATAACTATTAAAAAACTACATCTTTTTACCTAGCAATTCCACTTCTAGAATTTTCTGCATGAAAATTATTCATGTTCACGAAGATATATGTATAAGGCAGTTTATTATAATAGTACTTAAATTGTAAAAAAATGTAAATTATTTGAACGTCATTTAATTGTGAAATAGATAAATTATGGTATGTCCATATAATGGAATAAACAGATAATTAAAAAAAAATTTTTTTTTTTTTGTAGAGGAGGGGTCTCACTACATTGCCCGGGCTGGTCTCAAACTCCTGATCTCAAGCTATGGCCTCCCAAAGTGCCAGGATTACAGGCATGAGCCACTGTGCCTGGCTGACAGATATCTGTTAATAACAGCAAGATTGATCTTTAATGTACTGACACAAAAAGATGTCCATGATAAATACTGTAAATTTAGAGGAAAAAACTGCTAACAGTATATATTATATACAGTGATTTCTTTTTAGCTAGGGACAGATTATTCTTTCATACAAGTACACAGAGATGAAAACCTATTAATATATACTAACATATATACATATGTAGGCTAGGACTTTATTATAAAAGCTAGAGAAAATATGAAGCAAACCAATAACACTGGTTATTGAATGATGAGATTTTAGGGGAAAATCTCACTTTTTTTTCCTTTCTTTTTTGTGATAGGGTATGCTGTGTCACCCAGGCTAGGGTGCAGCGGTACAAATAGAGCTCACTGCAGCCTCAAACTCTTAGGATCAAATGATCCTCCCAGTCGAGCCCCCAAGTAGCTGGGGCTACAGGTGTGCACTTCTAACCTGGCTAATTTGTTTTTTTATTTTTAATTTTTTGTAGAGACTAAGCCTCACCGTTTAATAGGCTGGTCTAAAAATTCTGGCCACAAGTAATCTTGCTGTGGCCTCCCAAAGTGCTGGGATTACTGGCGTGAGCAACTGTGCCTGGCCAACTCCATTTTCCGTTACATTTTTGTCATGTTTGAAAGGATTTTAAAATAAGATGAATCTATTACTTTGAAACAGAAAAAGCAGTTAAGAATAATACTTATTTTAATGTCAAAAATAAAGTAAAAAGGGACAAAGATTAGAATGGAAAGTAGCTGAACACACAGTATCATATCTAGTATGAAAGAAACCAAAGTTACCTATGACAGTCTTCAGGTTGTGCACATAAATGACTGCATTATTGGAGCCAGAGGCCATCAGATAGCTCAGCTCTGGCTGACTGCCATGCTCATGATGCCAGCTAATGGTATTCACAAGCTTGTGATGCTGTTGGATAGTACAGATCAGTTTCAAGTTGGGAACCTGAAATATTTCTATTGTTCTGGAATAAGAAACACATCAAAACAAGAAAGATAGATGATCAAATTACAAGTTACAATGCAAACAGCAGCTCCCTCACTCCATCAGCCACGGGAAGATAAGGTAGAACAGGATAACCCTCTCTATCACTGCAAAGGTCATTCTCTCATTAAAAAAGTCAAGTATAAAAAGTTATTCTCCAAAAAGCATATTTAGCTTTTAAAAATTCTAATAATAACCTAAGAATTCTTTTTTAAAAAATGAAACTTTTTAAAATTTCAACTTTCCACACTACCTCAGTGTAACAATCTCCTAACATTCTAACAATGCTTGATGAAATTGTGTTCATCAGGCATTAATGACAAATGATCACAGGGAGAAGCTAAAAGAATTAACAAATCAATGGCTGAATTAGGATTGTGTTACTATGATTAACACTGGACGGGACATAGACCTAGAAAGCATTTCTGATTAGGCTTACTTAAAAAAAAAATGGAGTGAGATTTAGGCAGTTCAACATGTGAGATGACCATTTTGTGAGGCACGAGATAGCCAAAATACAGTGTAGCCAAATACTCTCAATGGACTGAAATATCTAAGTAATTCTGTAGTTCTCAAAGACATAAGGCACTACTGGATCAGCAGAGGATATCAAGAATCATTCAAAATGCCAAATACAACTGGGCCTCCCCAGCTAATATTACCGATGACATCAGTCAGCTTGTGATCAAATATATGTGCATTTGCAAACTTTTTATCTTAAAGAAGCAAATACATACCCATCTTCATTGCCAAGAGCCATGATTTTGCCATCTGCTTTCCAACTGATCTCTGTGTGTACAGGCAATTTGAACTAGAAAGCAAAACAAACCAATCTTGACTCTAAACATATCTCACAAATCAACAATGACAGCATGAGAAAAAAAAAAATGCCTACAGTCAAAAAAATGTTCTAATTATACAACAGCTATTCTTGTAAATAATCTACATAATTACTCAAAGGATAACTAAGAACAAGCATTCTAATTCTCATTTCCTAACTGGGCCAAAAAAAAAAAAAAAAAAAAGAAGAAGAAGAAGAAAAAAACCCCAAGGCCAATAAGCACTAAGTGTTTACAATGCTTAACCTGGTGAAACGTATTTAATTAAACTGATCTGTGCCCATCGGCTCGAACAACATGGGAACCATGGTCTTAAACAAAACCTATATATATTCTCCTTGTTTTTCATCCCTTCAAAGCTTCTTTCCCTAAATCATTCCCTCTCATATCTATATGCTGGTGTTCCCTGAATCATTCTCCTCTTATATCTATATGCTGCCTGGGCCCTCTTCTCAATTGTCTCTTTAGCCCACCTCATACATGCCCTCAGCTTCTTCATTTATCATTATTGTGAAGGGATTCCAAATTTCTATTTCCAGCGCAATCTCCTAGTATGAACCTCTGATCCATATATTCAAGTGTCCATTAATTAAAAGAGTCTTAAAACAGGAATTTTGTCTCTTTTATTCACTGCTGAATGTTAATGTTTAGATAAAATTTAAGACAATGAGGGAATATAATCAACCAATATAACTCAATTTATAATTAAATATTACTTTTACACTAGCCATACAAAAGTAATGAGCAATAATATAAAAATGCTCATTTGGGATGGGTATGGTGGCTCATGCCTTTAATCCCAGCACTTGGGAGGCTGAGGTGGGTGGATCACTTGTGACCACAGCCTGGCCACCATGGTGAAACCCTGTTTCTAATAAAAACACAAAGATTAGCCAGGCTTGGCACGCACCTGTAAACCCAGCTACTTGGGTGGCTGAGACATGAGAATCACTTGAATCCAGGAAGCAGAGACTGCAGTGAGCTGAGATGGCATCACTGCACTCCAGCCTGGGTGACAGAACAAGGCCCTCTCTCAAAAAATAAATAAGTAAATAAATAAATAAAAATACTCATTTGAAAGGGTAAGGAGGCCAAAATGGGTGGATCAACTAAGCTCAGAAGTTAGAGACCAGCCTGGACAACATGGCGAAACCCTGTCTCTACTTAAAAATACAAAAATTAGCTGGGAGTGGTGGCCCAAGCCTATAGTCCCAGCTACTTGGGAAGCTGAGGCAGGAGAATCGCATGAACCTGAGAGGAGGAGGTTGCAGTGAGCCGAGATTGCGCCACTGCATTCCAGCCTGGGTGACAGAGTAAGACTCTGTCTCAGAAAAGAAAGGGTAAGGACATCTCAACATTTAAGGTCTGACTTTAAAAGACAGTTCTGGTGCATACTGACAGAATGATAATGCAAACGTGATTAAATGTGGGAATCTGGGTAAAGGATATAAGCAAATTATGTGTATTATTTTTGCAGCTTTGTGTACATCAAAATCATTTTACTAGAAAATTAAAAATAAAATGACAATTTTATCTTGAGTAAAGCACCATGCAGTTACATTTGGACACGATATTATTGTTATTTTTACCACAGTATCACTTTGGTGAAAGTGGTTGGCTTGAAAAGGATGCTTTATACCTAAGACCTTAAAGTTTTTTTTCTTTTTTTGAGACAGAGTTTCGCTCTTATTACCCAGGCTGGAGTGCAATGGCGCAATCTCAGCTCACCGCAACCTCTGCCTCCTGGGTTCAGGCAATTCTCCTGCCTCAGCCTCCTGAGTAGCTGGGATTACAGGCACGCGCCACCATGCCCCACTAATTTTTTGTAGTTTTAGTAGAGATGGGGTTTCACCATGTTGACCAGGATGATCTCTTGACCTCGTGATCCACCCGCCTCGGCCTCCCAAAGTGCTGGGATTACAGGCGTGAGCCACCGCGCTCGGCGACCTGAAAGTTTATAATAAATCATTACTGCAATTGAGACAAACCTTTTTTGTTTCAGTAGTTCTTTTTGTTTTCTGCCTCATACCCACTGTCTGAGAGGTACTTCTTTGTTTTACTCAAGGATAAAGACTCCTAAGATATATGTTATAACTCATAAATTCACACACAGCCTTATAAGAACATTTAAGAAAACTGACTTAGTATGATGATGGTGATCTCTAATAAAGGCATTTATTCTGCAAGATGGGAAACCCAGAGGGATCTGTGATGTAGAAAGATCAAGAAAAGACCTTAGAGCTACAAGAACTCACTTTGATTGAATTGCTGTCCCTGATGAGTTTGTTGATGTCAAAGGCCTCTCCACTAAGCTTCCAAGGGTTATGCTGTAAGACAATCCCTTCTCCTCCACAGCTGTATAAAGCAAGGGAAGGTCTGTCTCCTTCTCCTCCTGTATGAAACAAGAAAAGAAAGCTTATTAGTTTTGTACTTCACCAGCTTAACTATTTGTTGGTATAGCATGACCACATTATACTATGAGATGTTTTAAAGGAATTCTATATTTGAGGCCAGACACGGTGGCTCATGCCTGTAATACCAGCACTTTGGGAGGCCGGCGGGGGTGGATCATCTGAGGTCAGGAGTTTGAGACCAGCCTAGCCAACATGGTAAAACCCCGTCTCTAATAAATATACAAAAATTAGCCAGGCATAATGGCTCACGCCTTTAACCCCCAGCTACTCAGGAGGCTGAAGCAGGAGAATTGACTGAAGCCAGGAGGCGGAAGTTGCAGTGAACTGAGACCATGCCATTGTACTTTAGCCTTGAGACTCTGTCTCAAAAAAAAAAAAAAAAAAATTATATATTTGAAACATTCTAATACATCGGAATAAATGTATTAGATTCTTTTTTTCCATCTGAACAGTTGTTGAGAGCAGAAGTAAAAAAGGTATACTACTGTAATTCTAGGTTAATTTATATGATGCAACATATTTGCTTTAAATATTTTTCTGGCATTCTTAATAGTAGGGGTCCAAAGGCTGGAATCAGAAAACAAACATATATGTTATTAAAGCAAGGCTTTTGAGAATTTGCTTATTCTTCCAGAAATGAGTACTCTTTGGGAATTATATAGCACAGTAGGACTTTCTATGTCTTATTAAAAGGAGCTGTGATCAAAGCAGTGATTTCCTTAGTATCACAACAATCCTCTTGTAAATTTTTAAGAAGCAAACAGTGATTCTGGTGGGTTTCTCCAAAAGCAAGTTTTACTTCTACCACTGCTAGATCACAAATCAAATATCTCGTAAATATGTGTTGAATAAATGAACTACAAATTCCAGTGCTACTCAAGTTCTGAAAATTTATACTACTTTCCTATGTAATGCAATTCCTATAGAAATTTACAATTGTTTCATCACAGATGGTTAAGAAAAGCTTATCAGAGACTTTTGATGAATATATTTATTTAAAAAGCTAATAGAAAAGACTCATTACTTTAGGAATAAGAAAAAGAAAGACTCCAGGCGTGGTGGCTCATGCCTGTAATCCCAACACTGTGAGAGGCCGAGGCAGGCGGATCACAAGGTGAAGAGATCGAGACTATCCTGGCCAACATGGTGAAACCCTGTTTCTACTAAAAACAGAAAAATTAGCTGTGCGTGGTGGTGTATGCCTGTAGTCTCAGAAACTTGGGAGGCTGAGGCAGGAGAATCGCTTGAACTCGGGAGATGGAGGTTGCAGTGGGCTGAGATCATGCCACTGCACTCCAGCCTGGCGACAGAGTGAGACTCCGTCTCAAAAAAAAAAAAGACTGATGGGCTAGAAGAGGGAAAGGGGCAGAATGCTGAACAAAGGCAAGAGATCATTTAAGAAACTTAAGTTTGCTTTTTCGGTGGGTGAAAACAGATATTATTCTGCTGGTATACTGAAGTAACATTTTTATTCTGATAAAATTAAAAAGTGACAGTAAGTTTTAGTGAAGAATATTAGACTGGGTATCAGGACCCAGCATGATAACTATACACACAATGAAAAATTTCAGCTAAAATAAAGAAACAATGCCTTAGTGAGATTGGAGCTTATTATGGGTAAATGTTTTCTCCCAGCAATTGTGATTTATTACCTGTCACTACTGCCTTCATGAACCCCTGGAGACCTAAGTAGTCCACATAAGCAGTCAGTGCACTAGACCAGTTAAAGACTCTCCATCTTTAATATTTTAGGATTAAACTGAAAGAAAGAGAATATTCTCCTATTTGTTAAAGAATTGCTCAGACACTTACCAAGTGACATCGGGGGTACTGGTGGCCCCCAGGCTAAAGTATATACAGTCTTCTTATGATATGTGCTAGAAATCTGTGGAGGCCTTTAGAAGAGGCGGAGAGAGAACAAACAGAGATTTAAACAAAAAGGCATAGTGAAAAACAGACCACCTTTTTCTAAAAGGTCCCCATTATAAATGTAACTACCAATAATTGGAGAAAAATCATTCAACAATATCTTGCTCCAGATAGTTGATTGTAAAGAAGCAGTTAATTATAATATTTACATTTAAATATTTAAATATCAAATATTTACTATCAAAATGATTAAGTCCCAAACATATTTTATCCCCCTAAAAATGTTACTCTTACCCATCTAGCCAGAACATATATTATCACCACCCAAATGTATTCACTTTATAGTCATGCAAAAGATAAGAAGTCATTTTAGGCTTTGTGCCATTAACATCACATTTCTTAAACTGAGACAAGGTTTCAGGGTAGAGATATTTTCAGTTTGTGATTGTCTTTTAAAGGCACACTCTTAAGAGTATTTTCGAAGGTTGCTGTGGTGATAGTGATCAAATGATATTACTGCGGAGTGACATGTTCGTAAAGAATGCTTAACTTTGTAGGGAAAACACCAGGTAGCACTGTTATTGAGTGACTGATTGCGATGGAGTCTTGCTCTGTCACCAGACTGAAGTGCAGTGGCACGATTTCAGCTCACTGCAACCTCCGCCTCCCTGGTTCAAGTGATTCTTCTGCCTCAGTCTCCTGAGTAGCTGGGACTACAGGCGCATGCCACCACACCTGGCTAGTTTTTTGTATTTTAATAGAGATGGGGTTTCACAATGTTGGCTGGGATGGTCTCGAGCTCCTGACCTCGTGATCCTCCTGCCTCGGCCTCCCAAAGTGCTGGGATTACAGGTGTGAGCCACTGCACCCGGCCCCTGTTATTTCTTTTAACATAAATTATCATACATTCTTTGTATGATTTTAGAATTCCAGAGCCTATAAATAATTAGTGGCTGACTTACTTCCACTTATCTGATAAAGTTATAGTGATCATTCTAGAGAATGAACCAAAATTTCTAAAATAAATTTATACTTTATAAACAGGCTAATTTATACTTTAGCCTATTTCTAAAATAAACAGAATAAGCAGTTCTGGCAAAATGTCGCCTAACAATAGCTCTAGAGCAATACCCACCACTCCCCAACTATTACATGGCTTTTGTACTGTTAGTGTGAATACTCAGCTCATAACAGCCAGGAGATAATAATTTAACAGAATTAGCAATTTCATAATGATACAGGGCTATTTAACAGTTTTAGCTGATTAAAAACAGTGTATTTTAAATAAATCTTTAAAACAGTATTTGTTTTTGAGAGTTAAGGAGAATAGTCAACTGCACATAGGTTCTATGTAAGTACTTCAAGAACTGCATATAAAAAGGACAGCTCTGGCAAGGTGCAGTGGCTCATGCCTGTAATCCCAGCACTTTGGGAGGCCAAGGCGGGCGGATCGCCTGAGGTCGGGAGTTCAACACCAGCATGGCCAACATGGAGAAACCCCATCTCTACTAAAAAATACAAAATTAGCTGGGCGTGGTGGCACATGCCTGTAATCGCAGCTACTCAGGAGGCTGAGGCAGGAGAGTTGCTTGAATCTGGAAGGTGGAGGTTGCAGTGAGGACAGCTCTGCAGTATCATAAATGATTTTCACTCGGAAGTGAATGATCTAAGACAGAGGATGCCCAATCTTTTCTGTAAATATTTTAGGCTTTCTGAGCCACGTGGTCCCTGCCACAACTACTCTACTCTGCTGTGGTGGTACAAAAGCAGCCAGACAGAATGTAAATAAAGGAGTGTAGCCATGTCCCAATAAAACTTTACTTTTAGACACTAAAATCTGAATTTTATTTAATCTTCATATGTCATAAGATATTATTTTGATTTTTCTCCAGCCACTTAGAGGTAAAACCATTCCTAATTTGTGGACCATGGTTCATCAATGACTGGTCTAGAATGGTGTGGTCCGATAAGGTAGCCACTAGTCACAGATGGCTCTTGTGCATTTAAAATGGGGCTGGCGTGACCGAGGAACTGAATTTCTAATTTTATTTCATTTTAATAACTTTAAGTATAAATAGCAACAAATGGCTACCAAACTGAACAATAGACGTTTGGATCCTAATCAAGCCTGTAGAGCAGCAGTGTACAACAGACACACAATGTAAGCTATATATATGAACTGTATATGTAACCTAAAGTTTTCTAGTAGCAACATTTAAAAAAAGCAAAAGAAGTGAAATTTCAATAATGTATTTTATTTGACTCAGCACACCGAAAGTATTACTTAAAATGCAATTAAAATAAAATATTTAATGAGATTTAAAAATTC